CTATGGTCCGGTCAGCGACAAGATCAACTTTCGAGAATCCTAAGAAGGGATATCATCCTGACATCTCTGAGGAACTTCGAAAGCAGTGCACGGCGACTGAACGAAGTTTGGGAAGGCTCTTCAGGCATTGGGAAATGGAAAAGGAGCAGAAGCACCTCAGCGATAGTGTAACGGCTCTGTCTGTGGATTACCGAGAGCTTAATTGTTCTATTGCAGGAGCTTCGGGAGCTGGAGCATTTGAAGAGCGAGTTCGTGACCCAACGAAAGGCCCTAGCGGGTGCCGTCCGAGCTGAGCAGGGCCGAGGTGACTGTACCCCTGGTACTCCATTCCAGCCTAGAGAGGGTTGGATTAGATTGGAGTACGTCGATGAGGACGGTCAGACTATGCCTTATCATCTCAACTGTGAGACTGGCGAGGTCCAGTGGGAGATGCCGGATGAAGCATTGCAGGTAGTTCAGTAGTAGAATGGGGCGTTTTGGTGGTATTGTTGGTATCATCAGAGTCGAGCTCGCGGCCTCTCCTTGATTCCGGAGGAGCTCGATACGTATGAGCAGAAGGTGAAGGCCTATAAGGAGGTCCAGAAAACTAAGGGCTTCCACTTACTCGAGGATAACCGCTTCAATGAGGCACGGTCTAGGATGCCCTTGAGGGTAGGGCTAGTCGTTGAGGGCATTGTGTACAATGTTGCTGCTTTCCTGTCAGATGACCAACTTTGGCAGTCTGGTTTCTCTCTTCTGCTGGTGTGGAGCGATAGTGGACACAGCTCTGGAAGTGGCGAAGATAGATACCACTGGTGATCGTAACGCTGCTGTGAGAGAGGGCATTAACCGTCATTTGGTGGCCTCACCGGTGTCCTACGGCACTCCAGCTCTGCTTGATAGTGCTACCTTCTACTCCCCCACGTCTATTGCTTGTCGTCCTGGTAGTGAGATCTACACAGCTGATTTGTTGGGCTCGAGACTCCTAAGCTCTGCAGTCACTCGTAAGTGTGGTCTCGCTAACTCCATCATTGATGATATATTCATCCTGGAGAATGGCGAACTCGGTGCTTTGTCGAGTGGGAAGGTCA